TGGATCCTATGGTTCTCTTTGCCGTTTTCCAGCGCAAAATTCCGGTCGTGACCTACTCCATTTCGCGATTATCAGAAATCCTCTCGTCAATCCCCTATAACACCCTACTTTTCTCAAACTAAATCTCAAATACTTAACAAGAAAAACTAAACAAGAATAAAAGCAATATTTAATAACTTAAATTCATCCAAAATCAACCAACGGGTGTCACCGCCACAGTCACCACACGCGATGACTGCATAGGCTAAGAAAGAAAACTATCTAGAGTCAAGCTCATCAAAAACTACAACCAAACTTGGGGAACAAAACCCCGGTGTTCAACACCAACAAAAGATCAATCTAAGAACTAACATCAGTTTAAACATCAATATCCAAACAGAGTCTAACTAGCATCTAACATCTCATATCTACGCAATATACTATCTCGTGCACGCTCAAACACTGGGCCCACCTGAAAGGGGTTAAGAAAACAGTAGGAAATAAACCCGTTAGCACGAATGCTAAGTATAAAGCCACTCAACCCTGTAAAGTACTATAGATATAGATTTTGAAAATCATTTGGCAAGTACACTTAAGTTCAAGTACTTTCAACACTTAAACAAGAACAACAAACTCAAATCAAGCTCATCATCAATTCTATATGCTTGCATCCTATTCAACATATAAACATGCTTTTTCAAGTATTCAACTTTAAACATATTCTCATACTTAAAACAGATATTTCAAATCATAGCTCAATACTCAAACTCATGCTCCAGCTGAAAGATAAAAAGACACTAAATAACTCAACAAGCTATCTCATGCTATAATGCCAACTCATAACATCAACAAAGTGTTATACTTCTCATCATACTTTATATGCAAAACATGCAAGTCATGAAATAAGATAGTCATGATGCGGAGGTTTCTGTTGAGTCACACAGACTTGGTTTCTTTCTTTCTTTCTTTACTCGCGGGCGAGGTAGGAACTTCACCAATAAGTGAACGAACCTCTCCAGGCTCGGCATCTAGCCGGCCTAATACTCATCTCGCCCACGGAACCACTCTCTCGGTTCTTATCTCAATCTCTGTGGAATCAAGTATCATACTTGTCAGTGTGCACACCCCCTAATCAGGATTCCAAGTCCGGCAGGTAGTATCCAACTTAGTAACTCGGGAATATCGACATCGTTACTTCATATAATCTGTCGGTCCGCAATGTCTGATTCTTTCCTTTCTCAAACTTTCTTTCTTTCTCTTTTCTTCCAAAAGGACATAGTCCTAACGGGCCTCCAAAACACTATTTTCTCACCATAGATAGCATATAGATATAACTCATGCAACTTCTTTCTCATGCTACTTCTTTAACTTATGCAAGCTTATGCACATAATTGATAATTCTCAACAATTTCTCTTTCTCACATTTTGGAAATCAAAATATCATGCAATATTCTCAATGCAACTAGATAATGATTTTCCAAAATAAATATAGGTTTTTGAAATAGATCTTAGGCTTACTTAGAGTCAATAATGCACTTTAAACAATGAAATCTACTATCATGCTCTTTACAGTGAAACATGCTCACATTCTCATCCAATGTGAAACAAGAAAATATGTACTGCTTTATACTAAACATCTTAACACTTAGTAACCTTCTCAATAAATACTATCAAATATTGATCATGCTTCCCAACTCAAAACATACTTCAAATGCTAACAATTCCATTTACTGTAAAACATGGAAATCATGCACTATTCATGCCACTTTCTCAAATACTAAGTAAAACTTCTCAACAAATACTATCAAGTATTCAGACATGCTTCTCAATCAAATAGCAATACTCAGATGCTGAACATACACTAGCTGATATAGTTCACAGACAACAACAACAACAACAACAGAGTGCTCAAACTCAACAATTCTAACTGTAACTCATGCTTTCTAACTCCAAATCTAACGAAACTAACTTCTACTAGTGCGTCGTAACGAGCCCGAGTGTCCGAGCCTCAAGGGCCCAAGAGTCCTGGTCCGAACAACGCGTAGCTGAGCTACAGAGGGCCCGGCCTGAACTGCCTTTGGCCTACCGGAGCTTGGTGACGGGGCTTGGGAAGCCCCGCCACTTGGCTAGCCAAGATTCATTGCCTTGTTTCACCCCTCAACGGGGCTGGCCAACGGACCATGCCAGGGTCCGTTGGATGATCTGGTGCACCATCTGTGTGCACTAGACACCCTCTTCTTCACCTGTTCATAACACCAGATGCAATCCAACACTTCCAAACCTCAATAAATCAAACATAGATCAACCACAACTCACAAATAGCTCAACAACAACATTTATCTAGCATTTCTAATCATCTATTTCTCATTCTAGCATTTCATAGAGTCAAAATATAGTTTGAGAGTCCATGATTTATACCTTAGCTTCTTCTTCTTCTTTGTGTGGATCCCTTCTTCCTCTCTACTCAACTAGCACCTCCTTCACCACCTAAACTCTTCAAACAAACCATATAAACAATACATATGGGGGAAACCTCAGAGATGGAAGGCAAAAGAGATAGAAACCTTAAGGAAGAAGATGAATGGATGCTTGAGAAAGAAACTTACTGTGTTTTGTTTTCTTCTTCTACAGAGAGCTCAAAGAGAGGCAAAGAAATGAGATTAGGGAAACAATAATGAAATAGGGAGGTATTTATAGGGTCCAAAACCCTAGGTAGATCACTAATGATTAGTGGAAGGCAAAGAAGGAATTTAGCTTGCTTCTAGAAATAACAGACAAGGTTGTAGAAGGTCCATGGTTCACCTTGTATCATGGACCATAGTCTAAAAAGTGATTTTTGGATAACTTGGGGTCAAAAATAGATTTTCTAAAAATAGTTTATAGTTAAAACACTTGGTTCAGGTTTCACAGGTTCCTTTCCGGTTTCACTCAGATTGACTTTTTGGGTCAAAACTTGATACATAAATGTACCCGAAACTTAGGATTTCGAAATAGAATATTCTCGGTGTTGAATTTATTTAAAAACTCAATTTAAAATATTTAATTCAAACACCATTTTCGAAATAAAATTTTTGAAAGAGTGAAAATGGCTATTTTGGAATTTATAAAATAGAATTTAGAAAAATTATTTTTGGGTTGTCACATCCCCACTCTCCGACTGACGCGCAGCCGCGACCTCAACCAGAAATGCATGGACCCCATCTTCTTGATGAACATTATACCGGTTTACAAGGTCACATTTTTGAACCGGTTGCCGACAGAAGCCGTGTGCTCGTCGGGAAAAGCCCCTACGATGTCGCCAACTACGTGCAGATGATCTTGGCCAATGGTTCAAGATTGGAACACCGTTTCGAGACGAGTTTTCCTTCATGGCGGCACCAGTGGTGATGAGGACAAAGTAATCTACACCGTTTTCCTTCGGTTAATCGAACACCCATTCCGATCGTGTCTTCTGGGGAATTCTCAGGTGGAGCTCGAGCTCGAGCTCTACCTACCATCGAGAGCAGCGATTCAGATACTCTTGGGTCGGATTTTACCCAGTCCGTTTACATCCACACTGGAATTGATGTCGCCAACTAAGAAGATGGTTGAAGACAAGAAAAAACCAAAATGCCCATGCTAAATCAGAGTCATCACCGGCTTCTCAACGGAACATGATCGGAGGGACTTATTTGACCAAAATTAATTTATTTCGAGGATCAAATTGATGAATATAAAATTAAGAGACTACATTGACATTTTGCCAACAATTGAGGGATCAAATTAGATATTACACACTATGGGCTACAATTGAGTGAATCACTCATCCCAATTAGAGTAGACTGAATCCCTCCATTGGGGTTCGAACTTGTACATACTTTCTCAACTTATCCATTTACAAAGAGTCAATGTCCCTACTAGAGTTTGAACTTATACATACTTTCTCAACTACAAAGAGTCAATGTCCCCACTAGAGTTTGAACTTATACATACTTTCTCAACTTATCGAATCACAAAGAATTAATGTCTCACTGGGGTTTGAACTTGTAACCTCCCATTTGAAAAAGTCACAATTATGGCGCTTAACCACAAGTTCTTTGGTTAAATATAAATTAACTTAAGAAAAAAAAATAAAGTGCTACGAGCCAATTATAAATGATGTGGCCATTCATTTTTTTTTTGAAAGCCAACCAATGAATGATTGTATTAATGAATCAAAGCTGCAATGCAGTCTGGAGGGATAGAATCCCAATACATAGCTTGATCCTGAATAAAAGCTAACGAAGCTAACGTGTGCGCATGCGCATTAATCTGCCTAGAAACATGATTAAACAAGACATAATTAAAAGACGAAGCTAAAGTCCTACACTGGTCAACTACTACTCCAACATAAGACATTATGATAGTTGAATTCTGCCGTATCGCATTTCTCAGCTGTAAACAATCTGTTTGAATCGTTACCGTTGTTATATTCTTCTCCAAAAGCTAGGATAGAGCTTCCTTACATGCCAGTGCCTCCGCCATGAATGGTGACAAACAATTCGATAGTCTCCCATTTTTCGCCACAATAAAAGATCCCTCCGGAGACAGCAGCACAATACCATATGTAGCTTCCCCCGTGTCCTCCCGATACCCCGCATCCACATAACACCGTGGGGTGGAGTCGGTGTCGCCATCTGCCGTAGCCATCGTGGGAGCCGCCGTGCCACGGCACACCACCTGCCGGTAGGAGTGCAGCGCCGCCGTGGCCTGTCTCCAGGCTGTCGTAGGTCTCGGCAGTGTGCCGTCCCATACCGCTGAATTCCTACATCTCCATAAGCAATAAAGCAAAGCCACCACCGCTGCACTTTGGTCCTCTGTGAACATTGTAAGCACAATTGTTAGCTACTCGGGGAATGAGTTGACAACAATATTTGTTATTGGCAATCCTGAAATATTCCAAACATGTCTAGAATAATCACAATTTATGAATGTATGCATAACATTCTCATGCTCTATCCCACACATTTGGCATGTGGGATCCACTTCCACCCTCTTTATAATCAAGTTGTTAGTTGTTGGAAGAATATCACAAACTGCTCTCCACAAAAAGTCTTCCATTTTGGGGGTATTTTCATTCCCCACATTTTAGTCCATTTCTCAAAACTCCCAGGCGAGTGATCATAAATTCCCATAATGTGTCTGTAGGCATTTTTAACTGTGTATATCCCATTGGGGTCATCAGGCCAATACCATGAGTCCTCATATCCTGGACTAACAGGTATCCTCAATATTCTACTCACATCTTCCTCCTCAAATAAATCTGCTAAAATATGTGGGTCCCAGGTAGCAGTTTGTTCATCTATTAAACCTACCACTTTAGCGTGCCTGAGCTCTACAGGCATATCAGTCTGCACCAAAGGGCTAGGATTATCAGGCAACCATGGGTGTCCCCAGATCAATGTTGTTTTACCATCCCCTATCCTCCTGCGCACTCGTGCCACCACCCTGTCATGAGCTGCCATAATACTTCTCCATGAGTGGCTCGGGCATCCTCCTACCTTGGCATCAACAAAAGTGGTATTAGGATAGTACCTTGCCTTATAGACTTTTGCAACCAGTGTGTCTGGACTTGTGAGTAGGCGCCATGCCTGTTTTCCCAACATTGCTAAATTAAAATTCTTGAGATCTTTGAATCCCATTCCTCCATATTTCTTTGGGATGCTTAACTTATCCCAGGCTTTCCAGTGTATTCCTCTATCCATACCAGTGCCCCACCAATACTTGTTCATTGTTCTCTGGATTGATAAACATACTGAGTCCGGGATCAAAAAGACACTCATTGAAAAGGTAGGCATAAATTGTGCCACGCTTTTCAATAAAATCTCCTTTCCTGCCTGTGTCAGAAATTTCTTGTTCCATGAGCTTATTCTCTGTTTTACCTTATCCTCAATATATGAGAACACTGCCTTCTTGTTCCTCCCCACAAAAGATGGTAGTCCCAGATATTTCCCAAAATTGGGTGCCTGGTCTACTTGTAAGCAAATCGCCACCTCTTCCCTATCTTCCACACTGGTATTTCTGCTAAAACAGACACTGGACTTGTGATAATTTACCTTTTACCCTGAGAGCTCCTCATATCGTCCCAGGCACTGTTTAATTACTCCCGCCTCCTCCCCATCTTGTAACACCCCAGATTTTTAAGACATTTTAAGCTTATATCATAGAGGTAATATCTTATTACATTCCAAAGTGTATCATAAGTGTACGGGGGGCTATGCCACACTTGGGCTAGAGAACCCAGGTGCACAGGCTGTCTAACTAGTATTCATTGAAACACAATGCATAATATGGCGCGCAGGCCGAAAAGGGAGACTAATCTACTTCTACGCTCCAGTTTTAGCGCGCTCCAGTGCTCTAGTCCTCTGTGCCTGAAAGCCAAATATATCTGTTCAGCGAGAGATGCTGGTAACCCACTCCAACGCGTTGAAATACAATACATATAGAGATATATATAGATATACGAAAACCATTTTGAGCATGAAGATATATCCTACGAACTCTAGCTTAGAAACCGGGAATGACTCGACAGATAAGGCCAGACACAAACGACAGTTATAACGAGCATATGCAGTTCACAACAGATAAGGCAGATAAGGCAAAGCATAACAATGATCATAACCCAACATGAACAATCCCCAATATAAATCCCATAGTCACATCCCCCAAGACACTCGTAATCACAACTCGTCCCTGTCACAACACATAACACACTTTGTTGGCGCCACAGGACCAATCGCATGCCCATACATGAGGGTCAGCGCATATAGCTCTAACACGGCCCCGCAGCACCCTGCCCCGTATCGCAACACGGAGGGGTCGATCGCAACCGACCGATGAACCGCAGCTCATCATAGTGTTTGATCGCAACCAACAGTGGACCGCAGCCCAAGAGAATGTCATCTGACCGCAGCCAGGAAAAAGGACGAACCGCAGCTCGTATAGAAACGTTTGATCGCAACCAAACGGTGGATCGCAGCCCAAGAGTATCAATCTGACCGCAGCCAGCTTCTGAACCGCAGCTCAGGATAACCAATCCGATCGCAACCGAATTGGGGTAACACACACATAACACATAGCAAGCACTTGCAACCCACATTACACATTAGGAAGGGGGAGAAAACGTATAACAAAACCTATGTGTGATCCATCACATACTAAGAATAGTCCTAAGGGGTTCATACTCCTTCCACCTAGGTCAACGGGATACCAATTCAACTAGCATGTAATACAATAGACTCATAAACCTACGAACGGTACCCGGAACATCAAACTAGACATAGGCACGATAAACGGAGTCCGTTGGGACACCACGGGGAACGGGGGAACATCAAACGGGGAAGCCGGGATCCCGAGATGGGGGAATTTCCAGCGGGTAGCCGGTGGGTGGGGGCCACCCGCCGGATAATACTGTTCCGGGCAGCGGGTCGCCGGCGGGCAGCTGCCCGCTCGCCGGCCACCCGCTGCCGGGCGGTGTTTCACGGTCGCGGGTAGGTGGCGGGTCCCCTACCCCCACTGACTCTTTTCACACACTTTACGCCCTGAGAACCGTTGTGGAACCCGAAACCATGCTTAGACACTTTACAACGCAAGTAACGACAACACGTAGACAATTAGCGAATCAAATACAAGAAACGGACGCCACATAACCTATCATGCTTTTCTAAATATAATCAACACCCAAACATGCGATTTCCCCACCCGATAAACCAAGAATAAGATCATACGATACAACCTAGGGTTCTAATCACTTTTATACCAACAAGAATACGAATCGTCTTCTAATTACAAGATTCGGTAGAAATAACACATAAGCATCAAGAACGCCATACAATTATCAAGAATGACATATAATCATCAAGAACTCCACATAATCATCAAGAACACCATAATTATAAAGAATCTCCCAATATCAAGATTATCAAGATCCCCCATGGGATCATCACATCAATCATCAATAATAATCATCACAACTCATCAATACACAATAATATGGGGGAAACCCTAAGGGGGAATCATAACTATGAAAATAGGTTTTGTTGAGACATGGGTTACCTCTTAGGCTTAATTAATTCCTTGGCTATGAAGGGTCTTTCTTTAAGCTTCCTTGCTTTCTTGATTTCTCCTAAGGGGATTCTTGGAGCTCTTTTGGGGTGGTGGGGCGTTATTTTTGTGGGAAGTTCTAGGTGCCTCCTAAGTCCCCTATTTATATATTTAGGAGTCCTAATTTGGAACTAATATTATAGGCTCGCTAATTCTATTCCTTTTGGAACTAAGGATTGGGTTTAGGGGTTGGGTTTATATATGAGGGTCCATGGACTATGGTGGGCCTTTTTCCCTAATTAATCATTATGATTTATTCCTTCTCTTGGGCTATTGATTGATTAATTAAATGGTTTTAGGGGCCGTAACACGGGGTGTTACACTCTCCCCCCCTTACAAAGGGCTTCGTCCCCGAAGCCCGGTGTTATAGTCCATCCTTTCACCCCTAGACACCTCGTAGCTTGGCCTCCTGATTAGGGTTGCGGCCTTACGTTTGTCTTGGCTTGGGGTAGGCTGAACTTTTGATGGTGTTGTGATAAAGAAGTTTTCGGTTGTACCTCGGTTTCCTGCGCTGGAACTGGGTGCACCGCGAGTGCCCAAGGCGGCCTCGATTCCTGCTACTATTTGATCGAGTGCGCGTGTGGTGCGAATCAAGGATGAGAACCCTTCTTCCATGATTTGATTCTGCCGGTCGAGTTGTGCGAGTATGCGTTCGTTGACCGAACCCTCGTCTTGTCCCCTCGAGTTCCCTCCTGGCTGTGGGTGCACTGATGGGTTAGGCCCGTCTTCCTCCTCTTGTCCCTCATTTTCCTCCGTACCTCCGCAATCTTGCATGGCTCGCTTGAGCTTTTTGTTGGAGATGTCCAACCGATCAACCAATTCCCTACGTTCCTCCTCGGGTTTTTGGCAAATTTCTTCGAGGGTGAGATAGTGTCCTCCTTCGGTGTAGTAGATGTCGTTGCGGCGGAGGTTTTGGGCATTGAAAACCATGCCATTGGCGGTTCTGACCTCGGTGTGGCTTAGGTCTACCCCCTTTTTCTCCATGATCCAACTTAGGATCATCCCGTAGGGTAGGCTAAGCCGGTTGTTTGTCTTGCAGAACTCTATGTGCTTTAGCATGAGTGCCGGCAGGTTGAACTTGATTTTGTGTTTTAGGAGATACGCAAAGGTGCACTCCAAGCTCCCCACATCCTTGCTCTTGTTATTGGTGGGCAAGAGGCTATCGGTTACAATCATAACTAATATCTTTTGCTCCGCCGATAGCCACTTTCGGTTTGGTCGAGTGGCCGAGGTGAACCCGTCATCTTTCCCGAGTAGGTACCCGAGATAGTCCTTGTATCCCGTAGTTTGGGTTTCAATCCACCCCTTTCGGTCATAGTTAGACACACCCGTGGTGGTCAATTTCAAGAGCTTGGCCAACCGGCCTTCGGAAAGCACAATTTCCTTGCCACGGACCTTGGTGGTGATCTCTATCTTGTCACCCCGTTTTGTGGCCACAAGATGTTGATAGAACTCCTTCACCAATTCGGGGTATGTGTCCCCTTTGATGGTGAGGTATGCATCTAGGAGTCCTTGGTGTTTAAGCATATCGACCAATTCCGGAGAAAATTGGTCGGGTTCAAGACTTTTACCTCCGATCACGGTGTAATCGGCGTTGTTCCATTCCGGGGTGCGGATTCCGAGGGGCTTTTTCGGCATCGTGAATCTCTCTTTGGTGGTGAGAAATTCCGGAAAAATTTCCGGCAGCCTTTCCGGTGAACCTCCGGCGAACTTTTTCGGCAGGGCGGCGGGGCTCCGGCATGTCTTTCCCGGTGGCCGAGCGTGCGGCGATTCGTGGTGCTCCGGTGGAGGGCCGGTGATGGGAGACGATGGCCTTGGCGAGGAAGAGAGGCGGCTTCGGGGCGGTGCACAGCAAGGCAGCGGGCGGTCTTCGGGCGAGGGCGGCTGGGCGCTGTTGCGGTGGTGCAGCGGCGCGGGCTGGCGGGAGGCGGTCGGACGGCGGCGGCGTCCGTGCGGCAGTGGCGTCGAGTGGTTTGAGGGTGGTTTCTATGGTGGGGCGGCGGGTTGTGTGGGAGAGAGAAGGAGAGGGAGTGGGGAAGGTGAAGGGGAGGAAGAAGGACGAGAAGGGTTTTTGATTTGGGGTTTTTGTGGGTTTTAGGAACTTGGGGGGTTTAACAAGGGAGTATCCCCTTAAGGTTTCAAGAAACACTCATGGCTTGGTGGTTGGAGCTTGGACTTGTAAATGTGAGGTCTAGAGTTCAATTCCTAATGGCAACATTAGGCATTTCTTGATGGTGTGATTTTTGTCTTTTTCCTTATTTCGTCCTTTAGTGGAGGGAAGGTTAGGTTGATAGTATAACTTGTGTTTTACCTTTGTAGTGGAAATTGGAATTTGATCGAGAATCTTTATTCATAATAATTCCGAAATAGTTAAGCTAGGTAAGCGGTCTTTACGACAAAAGAAGGGGGGGGGGTGGTTACAAGGGGGTGTGACGGCTTATCCTAGACAGTATTCGTTTTCCTGGTTTTCTTCTGCGGGGTCCGTATGGTCCTCGTCTTCCGGGATTGGGTTTTCCTCCCCGAGGTCCTCCTCGTTCCCGAGGTTGGCTTGAGTGTGGCTCATGACAAATACGTTCCCGGGAGCGCCGTAACTCCCTTGATGACCGGTGCCCCCGTGTTGACTCACGGTGGTGGGGCGTGGTCTTTGGGGTCGAGTGCACTGGAAGGCCTTGTGTCCTTCCTCTCCGCAATTGAAGCATCGCCAGGGGTTGCCTGCGCAATCCTTGCCCCTATGGTTTTTGTTGCATCTCGGGCAAGGGAAGCTTCTTGGATTAGCTTCGTTGTTTCCCAGGGTCGGTCTTTGGTTGGTCCGGTTGTTCGTCCTTGTGCCGGTGTCGTTTCTCGTTCTTTTCACTGGCGGTGCCCCACTTCCAGTGTTTCTTCTTCGTATTTGTTCCTGAACTCCGCGTTGGAGTAGTTGGATTCGATAGAGATTCGCGGCACTGGAGTAAGCCTCGTTGAGGGTCCGAGGTCTGCTTACCACTAGCGCCTTTCGAGCTTTGAAGTTAAGGCCCGACACGAATCTCTCTATCTTAGTTACCTCGGTGGGAACTAGCTCTGGCGCGAAGCGTGCCAGCTCGAGGAATCGTTTATGGTATTCTACGACGGTGGCCGTTCCTTGTTTTAGGTGAAGGAACTCTTCGTACATGGATGCCTTCACGTGGGTTGGGTAGAATCTCTCTCGTAGTCGTGTCTTGAGGTTCTCCCAATTGAACCCCGGTTCTTGTTGATAAGTGGGTCCCTCGTGGATCCACCAGAGATCGGCCTCGTGCCCGAAGTAGAACGAGGCTATCTCTACGCGGCGTTCCTCCGGGCATTCTACTACCCCAAAAATCTTGTCAAGGGTTCGGATCCATTCTTCTAGGACCGCGGGATCCTCTTCTCCCGAAAACGTGGGTGGTCGGTGATTTGAAACTTGTCGGGCGACGTCTGAGTTTGCGTTTGATGGAGGTGGTGGGGGCCTGTTGTTGCGAAGGGTCGCGTCACTTAATGCCTGTGTGACTTGTGTCAGCTGTCGTAGGGTTTGGGTCAAGGGGTCGTCTGTGGCGGGCTCTGGAGTTCTCGATTGCCTTCTGTTCGGTGCCATGCTATCGTCTTTCTGGTCAGTGTTTATAAGAACGTTAAATTAGAGTCTGACGTACTTCTTATGAAGTGATAAGTGGGGAAGGGTTTTAGAATGAGGGAGGGTAAAGTGTAGAGAAGTTATGTGTAGGTTTCACAATCTCACCGCGCGTCCTAAGATTCCTGAGTCCTATGTTCCTAGGTACCTAGAGTTCAAGCCTAATGTCCTAAAGTCCGGTCTTAAGAGTCTTTTCCTAGGGTCAAACTTAGGCTCTGATACCAACTGTAACACCCCAGATTTTAAAGACATTTTAAGCTTATATCATAGAGGTAATATCTTATTACATTCCAAAGTGTATCATAAGTGTACGGGGTGCTATGCCACACTTGGGCTAGAGAACCCAGGTGCACAGGCTGTCTAACTAGTATTCATTGAAACACAATGCATAATATGGCGCGCAGGCCGAAAAGGGAGACTAATCTACTTCTACGCTCCAGTTCTAGCGCGCTCCAGTGCTCTAGTCCTCTGTGCCTGAAAGCCAAATATATCTGTTCAGCGAGAGATGCTGGTAACCCACTCCAACGCGTTGAAATACAATACATATAGAGATATATATAGATATACGAAAACCATTTTGAGCATGAAGATATATCTTACGAACTCTAGCTTTAAAACCGGGAATGACTCGACAGATAAGGCCAGACACAAACGACAGTTATAACGAGCATATGCAGTTCACAACAGATAAGGCAGATAAGGCAAAGCATAACAATGATCATAACCCAACATGAACAATCCCCAATATAATTCCCATAGTCACATCCCCCAAGACACTCGTAATCACAACTCGTCCCTGTCACAACACATAACACACTTTGTTGGCGCCACAGGACCAATCGCATGCCCATACATGAGGGTCAGCGCATATAGCTCTAACACGGCCCCGCAGCACCCTGCCCCGTATCGCAACACGGAGGGGTCGATCGCAACCGACCGATGAACCGCAGCTCATCATAGTGTTTGGTCGCAACCAAACAGTGGACCGCAGCCCAAGAGAATGTCATCTGACCGCAGCCAGGAAAAAGGACGAACCGCAGCTCGTATAGAAACGTTTGATCGCAACCAAACGGTGGACCGCAGCCCAAGAGTATCAATCTGACCGCAGCCAGCTTCTGAACCGCAGCTCAGGATAACCAATCCGATCGCAACCGAATTGGGGTAACACACACATAACACATAGCAAGCACTTGCAACCCACATTACACATTAGGAAGGGGGAGAAAACGTATAACAAAACCTATGTGTGATCCATCACATACTAAGAATAGTCCTAAGGGGTTCATATTCCTTCCACCTAGGTCAACGGGATACCAATTCAACTAGCATGCAATACAATAGACTCATAAACCTACGAACGGTACCCGGAACATCAAACTAGACATAGGCACGATAAACGGAGTCCGTTGGGACACCACGGGGAACGGGGGAACATCAAACGGGGAAGACGGGATCCCGAGATGGGGGAATTTCCAGCGGGTAGCCGGTGGGTGGGGGCCACCCGCCGGCTGCCCGCCGGATAATACTGTTCCGGGCAGCGGGTCGCCGGCGGGCAGCTGCCTGCCCGCCGGCCACCCGCTGCCGGGCGGTGTTTCACGGCCGCGGGTTGGTGGCGGGTCCCCTACCCCCCACTGACTCTTTTCACACACTTTACGCCCCGAGAACCGTTGTGGAACCCGAAACCATGCTTAGACACTTTACAACGCAATTAACGACAACACGTAGACAATTAGCGAATCAAATACAAGAAACGGACGCCACATAACCTATCATGCTTTTCTAAATATAATCAACACCCAAACATGCGATTTCCCCACCCGATAAACCAAGAATAAGATCATACGATACAACCTAGGGTTCTAATCACTTTTATACCAACAAGAATACGAATCGTCTTCTAATTACAAGATTCGGTAGAAATAACACATAAGCATCAAGAACGCCATACAATTATCAAGAACGACATATAATCATCAAGAACTCCACATAATCATCAAGAACACCATAATTATAAAGAATCTCCCAATATCAAGATTATCAAGATCCCCCATGGGATCATCACATCAATCATCAATAATAATCATCACAACTCATCAATACACAATAATATGGGGGAAACCCTAAGGGGGAATCATAACTATGAAAATAGGTTTTGTTGAGACATGGGTTACCTCTTAGGCTTAATTAATTCCTTGGCTATGAAGGGTCTTTCTTTAAGCTTCCTTGCTTTCTTGATTTCTCCTAAGGGGATTCTTGGAGCTCTTTTGGGGTGGTGGGGCGTTATTTTTGTGGGAAGTTCTAGGTGCCTCCTAAGTCCCCTATTTATATATTTAGGAGTCCTAATTAGGAACTAATATTATAGGCTCGCTAATTCTATTCCTTTTGGAACTAAGGATTGGGTTTAGGGGTTGGGTTTATATATGAGGGTCCATGGACTATGGTGGGCCTTTTTCCCTAATTAATCATTATGATTTATTCCTTCTCTTGGGCTATTGATTGATTAATTAAATGGTTTTAGGGGCCGTAACACGGGGTGTTACACATCTGCTCTAAAAAATAATAGGCTATCATCTGCAAAAAATAGATGTGATATCTGCGGGGCTCCCCTAGCAACCCTGCAGCCATGTATTGAGCCAGACATTTGCGCTCTTTGCAATAACACAGATAACCCTTCTGCACATATGAGGAATAAATATGGAGACAAAGGATCCCCTGCCGCAACCCCCTGGTTGGCGTTACACCTCCACTATGAACACCATTAATCAAGATGTTATACTGGACAGTAGTAACACACTGCATTAACAAATTAATCCACCAGTCCTCAAAACCCATTACCTCCAACATCCGTCTCAGGAACTGCCATTCCATCCTATCCTACGCCTTGGCCATATCCAATTTTAACGCTGCCCACCCCTTCCTTCCACACTGTTTTCTATTCAAGTAATATCCCACCTCCGCAGTTATTAAAATATTATCAGTAATAAGTCTCCCTGGGATAAAAGCACTCTGGGCCTCAGAGATGAGGTTCCCCATGAGCGGTTTAATCCTATTGGCTATTACCTTTGCCATGATCCTGTACAGAACATTACTTAGAGTTATTGGTCTCATATCAGCTACTGTCTCAGGCACATCTTTCTTCGGGATCAAGACCACATTAGTATCATTCAATCCTTCAGGCAACGAGCCTGAGTTCAAGCAATTCACAATAAATTTAGACACATCTCCCCCACAATATCCCAATATTCCTGGTAAAATCCAGGATTCATACCATCCGGTCCTGGTGCTTTGTCAGGGAACATTGCAAATAAGGCACTCTTGACCTCCTCTAACTCAAACTGGCGGAGGAGCTTAGTGTTCTGCTCACTAGTCACACAGGGGGCAAAATTATCAAACATGGGATCCTCACATTCAATGTTTGATGATGTAAAAATAGCAGCATAATATTGCAAAACAACTCTCTTCATATTATCCCCCTCTACCCATGCACCCATTTCATCTTTTAATCTAGGAATATAATTTTTCCTTCTACGAGCAGAAGCGTACCTGTGATAGAACTTGGTATTGCAGTCCGCACCGCGCAGCCAGTGCTGCTTCGCCCGCTGTCTCCAAAATACATCCTCCTGCATCTCCAACTGCACTAGTCTCTCCTCAATCTCGCGAAATTCAGCCAATGCAGCCGAATCTCGTCTGTGCCGTATCTCATCCTGCTCTTTCCTCAATTGCTTGATGCGGTCACCAAACTTATGCCAATGCTCCCCACCCCACCGCATTAGCCTTCCCCCACAATGCTGCTGACAAACCAACAGCCCCTTATCCCTACCATCCTGCCAGGCTGTCTCCACCACCCTCCAACAACCGTCATCATGAATCCATGCCATCTCAAAGCGGAATCGTTTCGGTCCCTCATATCTGTGGCCACGCACCACATCAGTGTTTAAAAAGAGAGCAGAGTGATCAGACTTTCGGGTTAGAATATTTTCGACCCACGCCTCAGTATTCAGTGTAGTCCATCGTGTAGACACCAACACCTTATCCAACCTTTCCTCCATCCATCTATCAGTCCCTTTCCCCTTCTCCCATGTAAACTGGTGACCCCGCATTGGCAATTGGACCAGCCCACAATTGTAAACAGTATCCCCAAACCCTCTCAACAGACTATCCGGGTGAGGATTCCCCCCTCTCTTCTCACGTTGGTATAATAAATCATTGAAATCCCCCAACGCCACCCAGGGCAGTGTAGACTTATCCCTTAACCCACTTAACAATTGCCACGCCTCCCTGCGTCTATGTCTCTGTGGAAACCCATAGAAGCATGTCATCCGCCATACTTTTTCCTTAACGGCCACCTCCACATCCACATAATTCTTCGAATAACTCAACAGTCTAGCAGTATTATTCTTCCGCCATAGTAATGCTAAGCCACCTCCTCCCCTAACTGGATCCACATAAAACAGACCCTCAAAACCAATTTTAACTCGCAATCTTTCTGCATGACTCCGATCTACCTTTGTTTCCATTAAGTAGACGAAATCGGGCTTCTTACGGGACACCATGTCCACCACCTCACGAACTGTCTGTGGATTGCCCAAGCCACGACAGTTCCAGCTTATTGTACTCATTGAGATGGGCGGGCCTGAACACCAGGACCCGCCGTAAATCCGTTTTTTGAGAGCTCAGACATCACCACATCTCCTGCATCCATCCTTATACTGCCACCATCACCCATCCCATCCCCCCTCCTTCTCTTAGCCGCCGCTACCACCACTCCCTCACCCACCCTCACATCCGTCACCCCAACCCGTACACCTCCCTCACTCACACCACCCCCTAATGCCGTAACCCCCACATCCCCTTCCCTTCTCATCCCATCCTTCCCCTTCCCGTCCAGTGATCTCAACCACGGGTCCCCTACTTGCCTAGGCCCCCGGCTACCTCCCCCCGCCCTCAGGTCCGCCGTATATGGAAATTTATCTGCAGTGAGTCCTGATTTCCTTGCCAACTTACAGAACTTATAGGCATGCCCCAATAAACCACAATAAAAGCAAAAATTATGTAAACGTTCGTAGCGGAAATTTACCCAGCAGCTTGACTTATCTCGTTTAATTAGTTTCATCCTTCGTTTTAGCGGCTTTTCCACCGGTATTGACACACGAACCCGGTGAAACGTCTTCCATGGTGCTCCCGGATAACGATCATTAACTTTTACAAACGTACCAATAAAATTGGCCGCTTGTTCAAGAACCACTTCCGATGTATATCCCAGCGGCAAGTCATAAAGCTGCACCCACATATCCACCGATTTCAACTCAACCGCAGCCGGCCTTGCACCCAATTCCACCTGCTTACAAACTAGGGTGTTGTTCTCAAAAGACCACGGCCCTTCATCGAGGACCCTCTGCATATCCGTTTCATCGTAAAAGATGAACATAAATAACCCCGGTTGAATTTCCGTTACATGCATACCCCACACCGGTTGCCAAACCGAGGCCATCACTTGCCGCATATACTCCAACTTCACCATCTTCGTTGTCAAAAATCTGCCAACACACACCCACCGCTGTTCCTCCTCCTCCGCCACCACCCCGACACCCTCCCCCACCGGCTCAAAGCCGATCTCCTCCTCCTCCTCAAGCGCTATATCACCCCATCGCTGTGTTAGACGTTCGATAATCTCCTCCGCCCGCTCGAGGATCGGTGGCTCCTCGTCAACCCCATGAACGACCGGTTCCATCGCCGTAGTATCCATTCGTCCGTCACACGACGTTTCTGTAGAAGTCCGCTGCTGTCGGACGTGAACCAGTAGCAAGAATCGGTGGTGCTGTCCTTGCTGTAGCCCGTCGCTCGTCTACCGTAACCCAGCAGCAAGATTCGTCCGTGAAGAAATCAAGAAGAGCAAGAAACGCTGGAAATTCAAGGAGAAACCCTAGCAAGGAGGCAAAACCCTAGAGAGAATTTCTAGAGAGAGATTTTGAATTATAAGGTTATTTGAAATCACCAGAATGATTTGGAATCACCAGAATGATTTTTGTTACTTTCTCCCAACCATGAGGCTTCATATAATTTATGTCGAATTGCTGTTGGCTAAATACTGAGTTAGTTACAATATAAAATAAGTATACGTAAAATGTTATGACTAATCTCAGTCCTCTATCAGCTCAATGTTCATAAATGGTTGAAAATTTTAATAACAAAAAACACGAGATCAATTTTACAATTATTGAAAACTTTTAAAAATAGTATTCATTTTATAATTATTGTAAACTTAAAAGTTTAGTAATGGTAAGATCCTATCCTTTTTTTCCAAGTTGGAGGATATAGATGTGTTTGACACTTTTTATAGAGAGAGTTGAGATCACATTAACCCTCATATATATATATATATATATATATATATATATATATATATATATATATATGTAATATATATGTAATATATATGTATACATATGTATTACATATATATTACATATATATTACATATATATATATATATATATATATATATATATATATATATGTACATATATATGTACATATATATGTAATATATATATGTATATATATATGTATATATGTATATATATATGTACATATATATATGTGTATATATATATACATATATATGTAATATATATATGTATATATATATGTATATATGTATAGTATATATGTATATATATATTACATATATATGTGTATATATATATATATATATATATATATATATATGTATGTATATATATATATATATATATATATATATATATATATATATATATATATTGTAAAACTATAACAATAGGCATGGAATGATTTAACCAATACTTTAACCAGAAGCGTTAAAGTACTAACCTGATTTCATGAGAGAATGATGAAGCTTTCAAACCTTTCTTCTTCACAACTTCTTTATGCAAGTTTGTAGAGTGTTTCTCAAAATACTTTTCTCTCTGGTCTTTCACGTTAGTTTTCACAGTAATAGGATAGGAAAATGCTTATGCCCTTTTATATTGCCTTCTTTACATAACTTACATTCCAATATTGATTATTGGAATTATGGCAATAATGGCCATAAACCAAATATTAAGTAGGCTTAAATAGCCCTTATTGAAAGCCAGAGAGAGGGGAAGAATAACCCCTTGATTCGTTACATATTTTATTCCCATTACCTATCACAACGGGATTTTAATTGTCCAGACCACTTTAATACATGGACCACAATAACATTAGAATAAAATATTCTAACATTCTCCCACTTGGTCCATGTGTATCATTGATGCATTGGGATAACTTTAATTCGCGAAATATCCCAAAACATCAATGAACTTTTACTTAAATTAAAGTTCGCTAGATCATGGCGGTCGCACGTTATTTGAACAACATGTTCCCTTCCATGCACTATAGGTCAACTTTAATTTCGATACTGACAACCATAGGTGCAAACAGAGATATAACATTAATTGAATTCAACCAAGTCAATATATCATAAAATTGAAAACCAAAATTACAATGATAACAAGGCTCTGTCCAAAATTCCCATACTCTCCACATGACAAGAGAAGACTTTCGGTGCTAAACCTTTGGTCAAAGGATCAACAACCATAAGTTCAGTTTTGATATGCCAAATTGACACTCTCTGTTTCTGTACTTCTTCTTTAACTGACAAGTATTTCAATTCCATATGCTTAGCACCCTTAGAGTACTTTTCATTCTTAGAGAAAAACACTGCTGCGGAGTTGTTACAATAAATTCTCAAAAGTCTAGAAATACTGTCGACTACTTTAAACCCCGAGATCAAATTCCGCAGCCATAGTCCATGATTTGTGGCTTCAAAGCATGCCACAAATTCTGCCTCCATAGTGGAAGTAGCGATGACTGATTGCTTCGCACTTTTCCAAGAAACTGCTCCTCCAGCTAATAGGAACAAATAACCAAATGTAGATTTTTTCGTATCTACACACCCAGCATAGTCTGAATCAGAATAGCCAATCACTTCAAGTGGATCTGACTTCCTATATGTAATCATGTAATTTTTTGTGCCTTGTAGATATCTTAAAACCTTCTTCGCAGCCTTCCAGTGTTCTATGCTGGGATTACTTTGATATCGACCCAACATACCAACAGCAAAGCTGATGTCTGGCCGAGTACAAGTCTGTAAATATCCCAAACATCCAACCACTGTTGCATAAGGTATACCTTCCATTTGCTTTTGCTCAAGTTCATTTCTGGGACATTGAGCTAAACTTAATTTGTCTCCTTTCTGCATTGGAACCACTCCCGGAGAGCATTTATCCATCTTAAATTTTTCCAAGATCTTGTTAATGTATCCTTTCTGAGACAATCCTAATAATCCTTGTGTTCTATCTCGGAATATTTCTATTCCAATCACATATGATGCCTCACCCATATCTTTCATTTCAAAGGTCTTGGAAAGAAATACTTTAACATCACGCAACATGGCCTTATCATTTGCAGCAAGTAAAATGTCATCAACATATAAGACCAAAATAGCAAACTTACTCCCACTGACTTTCATGTAGATACACCGATCAACAGTATTTTCCACAAAACCATAAGATGTAATAATATTGTCAAATTTAATGTACCACTGTCGAGAAGCTTGCTTAAGTCCATATATTGAATTTTCTAATTTACACACCAAGTGTTCCTTTCCTGTGGTAAAAAACCCTTCTGGTTGGTCCATATATACTTCTTCCTCTAAACCACCATTTAGAAAGGCAGTTTTAACATCCATTTGGTGAAGCTCTAATTTGTAATGAGCCACCAATGCCAAGACAATCCTTAACGAGTCCTTCTTAGAAACTGGGGAAAAGGTCTCGTTATAGTCGATGCCACTTTTCTGAGTATAACCCTTGGCAACAAGTCTAGATTTATACCTTTCGATATTACCGTTAGAGTCGCGTTTGGTCTTAAAGACCCATTTGCACCCGACTCTTTTTGAATTTTCAGGTAATTCTACAAGGTTCCAAACTTTGTTGACTTTCATAGATTTCAACTCATCTTTCATGGCATCTAACCATCTTTCAGAACTGTCACTTTCAATGGCTTGTTTGAAAGAAACTGGATCCTTATCAATGCTCAAATCATTTTCTTGTTCAGCAAAATATATCACGTAGTCATTAGAAATGGCAGGCCTCCTTTCCCTTGTAGAGCGCCTTAATGCCATTTCTTCTCGTGGTTCATTGATTTCTTGCTGAATTGTGAGTGATTCATTTTCATTGGTCACAATCTCATGTGGGTTTAGGACATTCTTATGTTGTTCCGGTGCACTAGAGGATGGTAATGTGATAACCGGAGCTACATCTTGAAAGAAATTTTCATGTGAAGAGGTTTCAACATGAATTTCTCGAATGTCTACCTTACGTAGTTCTGTGCTCCCACTATTTTGACCATTTTCAATGAATCGAGCATTCCCAGTCTCTACAATCCTCATACTATGGTTAGGACAATAAAACCTGTACCTTGGAGACCTTTTGGGATAGCCAATGAAAAAACCACTGACTGTCCTTGGGTCAAGTTTATTCTCACGTGGATT